GTTGGATTATGTAATATGACCAACGACAGCCGAAACGGAGACAATACCGACTCTGCCACCTGCCTGCCACCTGCTTTCCTTCACATATCACATCTACATCTATCCGTAAAGTACGGATACATCGACATGGACATCACATCAACGCCTTGACTTCCTCACCTGCAGGTTTATTCCTGACAGTCAAATTCAATCATGCCAATCAATCATTTTCTATCTCCATCTCGGTCTCCATTTTCAGCCCTCCCTTGGTTAATCAACCACCAACCCGTCCGTCAACACGCCGTCAGCATGCATCGGGGCTTCAGAACCCACGCCCGTTTCGCATCCCGGTCCGGATTGAATATCAATTTGCCTTATTCCGCTTGATTGGCCACCTTAACCCTTCACACAACATCCATTCTCAACGCAACGCACCGCACCGCAACCACGAGACACAGCATCCATCATCCATCCGTCCATCGTCGACAAGCACTGCTCCTTGCTTGCCATATAAGCTCTGCCTAAGATACACGGACCAACTCGCTTACGAACTGAAGGCTCAAGACAAGGCTCAAGGCTCTTTCACAAGACTGGGGGCATTCGTCATGCACAACTGCACCACCACCATCCATCACCACAAACACCACGTTCCGTAGGCACCATGATCCATCAGCACTATCAGCTGCCAGAACCGCTTCTGCTCCAGCCGCACCAAAGTACCTTCCTCACCTGTTCGACTACCGCTCCGCCGCTCCAGCAACTCGGGGCGTGCTGTGTCTCGTGTCCAAGACTCGCCTGTATCAATTAGAGTTGCTGGTGGCTCCGCGGTTCTTGAACATGAGAGCCTGCCTTGGCGCCCTGTTCCTTTGCCGTTTAACCCCTCGGGACTGATACTGCCTTCCGCCTGCAGCTTGTTCAACTGCGCCGTCCCGCCGCTTCAACACCTTGTCACGACGTGACCTTGACCTTCTCACTCCTGAAGACGAGACTCGGGGTAAGGTACCTACCATTCCTCACCCCCTCCTTCATCACGAGAGCTCGGACGCTTTCTGGATTCGTCCAGCCAATGTCAACTCTCTGCTCCGTCCCTTGGCTTTACCTGCATGAGACGGAGTCAGTCGCCTGCTTGCTTTTCTCTCCATCAGCCATCATCATCGTCTTCGCCCCTTCCTTACATCCGCGGCTTAATTGCACTATCAGACGCTCGCCGATCAGAAAGCCTCGACTTCGCACACTCGCCCTGTTGGCGTTTCTGTCTGGCAAAGACGGCAGGTTTCAAACTCCGCTAGACCACTTCCATGTCATCATATCACGATCCGGAGGCACATCTCAGCTGCCTGTTTGACCCATCGCATTGCCGTTCAGCCAAGACTTCATACCTGCCTGTTGCACTGCGCGGGGCTCTGTCGTTCGCGTTGTTGTGTCTATATCCGTACAGACTCTATTTGCCCCGAACACCGCAGCGGCCAGCGATGTCAACACCGAATCAAAAAATCCGAAAATGCGCGACAGGCCGACCAGCAAAACATGGTACTGGCCAGATCCAGTGTCACCTGCGTTCAGCCGTGCAGATGATTTGCCGCCACGAGAGACATGCTCAAAAGACAGCAACCAAGTTGGCAAACTGCAATCCTGGCCTGACTCGATGTTCAACAATGAGAGACATGGACACGGAAACCACTAAACTTTCACTGTCTTCGCCCACAGCGTCCAACTAATTCCGTCAGTCGGGTGAAAATTTGACCTCTGATCCCATCATGAACTTCACCAGCCCAGCGGAGAGTGTTGGTGCTCAATTCGTCTGGTCTTTCACGGCTGATCCTTGCCGTCCGCTCGCTCCCGCTCGGAGTAGGGCGAAGACGTCTGATACCCCGAGGCATCGGTCGGTCCATCTGGCACTACCATTGTATCACCGATGGTGTCCAAATACTGCTCTGTTGTCGGCAATTCAGGACATATGGGAGTAAGTCCTCGTTAAATCACACCTCGTTCGGGCAGTTTCGTGCTACTGCTCCGACGTAATTCTTCGTTGATCGGTTATGATATCCATGCGAAGGGACCGGAATCTGGAAGTTGACAAATGCGCCCCGGATTCGTCTCAGCTGCCCAGTCGCATTTGTTTGATACGTTCGACAAGCCGGACATACCGGTGTCAGACGAGGCCTAAAGGCCTTGCGTGGTGGAGGCAGCTGAAGGCCTAATTCATCATGGCATGGCGGAAAACTGACGACGTCAAAGGCAATCCCCACCATCGACCTCTTTTCCTTTACCATGGTACAGGCCACCACCTCCTGCTTGCTGTTTATTCACGACCGTCGGCCGGCTACCGGTTACATGGCGCGCGTCCGTTTTGCAGGCCCTCTCTTGTTCAGATGACTCGCATCGTCGTCCATCCCGGAACGCCCGCCCTATCCAGCAGCTATTTGCTCTACAGTGGGTTATCATGCTGCAGCCTTCGTTTGGTAAAAGTAGGGAGGCACTGGCCCTTCCTTACCACGGCCCCTATCATTCCGGATTGCCGTTCTTTTGCCTTCCAGGTTCAGGTTCTTGGAATTAGACATCAATTGTCACCGATCGTCAATCACCGCACAGTGGAGCTTGCTATCCATAGCGTAGCTTGCGGAGCAAAGTCTCAGCAGCGAGAGCAGCATTCGGCGTCAAATTGTTGCCTTGCGCGGTTTAGCCCCTCGGCGCGGCATACGAGTTCCTGCTCACCCTGGCTCCTAGCCTTCCAATCTATTCGTGCAAGGAAGGCAGAAATAGAGAGGAAATGGTGGCTGATGACGAACGGATTGACAGGCACGCTTCACTTTCCTTGCTTCCGTTGGCTCGTTGCCCACTGATCGCTGAGCACCGCCCGCCGAGAGGACCTGGAGGGGAATTGGAGCGACCTTTTTTCTTACCCTGACCTCCTCTTGGCTAGCCTCGATCCTAATCATGGCGAGCACGCATTGAGCAGCGCAGCAAATCATACACCAGCGCAACAGAGATGACGACTCCGACGAGACGTCTCGCTAAGAAGGCCCTCGACCGAGGGAGCGCTGCTGGTGATTGATTTACCTGAGGAACTTGGATTATTACGACTGGCTCCGGCACATGCCCGGCGCTGATCCGACTATTCGCACACCTTTTGGCCCCCGCCCGTGGAGACCCGTCCCGCCCGTTACCGCCGCCGCCGCCGCCCAAAATGACACCACCCACCTCCGGCCGGCGGTCCGGAGCCCGCGAGGGCGTCGTTGGCGAAAAGCGGTATCGTCTCACCCTAATCGAGCCAGCTTCAGGTCGCCCCCGAATTGTCTTGGGTAAGCGGGGCGTTGGGGGTCAAACAGACTCACTCATCCTACGCCCGTCTGCCCTAACGGTCTGGTGGTCGACTGACGTGCATGTCGGTTCAGCCGCGGGCTCACGAAAGAGGCCGAGCGATTGGTGGAGGTAAGACCAAGACTTGTCTTTGCTGACGACGAGGCGGTGACGTGCCTGCATTTTGCTTTTCAGGGCCGTGCCTGGGTGAATCATGCCGTTTCTACTTAGGTTGATCCAGCGTATAGACGTGCGGATGTATGAGATTGTAGGGCTCATACGGCTCTAGTCCGAGTCCACTCGTCTTCTTCCTGTGGCTGGCTGCCGCTATCAAATCTTATGCAGTTGTTCTCTTGGATCAAGCGTGATGTGAGCTGGACTAGATGGCTGCGGTGAGAGGCCAGGCGAACCAAGATGTGATGTGATGTTGATACCTCGTTCCATGGAATGCCACGTTTGCTGATAATAGTACCGCTGTCATGCTTATCATCTAGTCAACAAGAATCAGCATGGGGTTTAAGTGTGATTACTGTCATAAATCGCCAGGCCAGAATCATCGAGCAAATTGTTCAAGTTCCTGTAGACTATATGGCACCATTATACAAACACGTTGTCCAGTGACAGTTTTAGCAGAATACATCTCTTTTTCCGACTCTTACAGTTCCAGGAACAGTTCAGATTGATCTGGTTGGTGAAATTATGTCGGAACACTCGCTGCTAGTCGCAGGCAAGGACACTGAGTTATTTGCAGAGGCTATCATGTCCAAGACGTACACACCGTTCCATCACTTCACCTGACTAGGCAAGTATCACGTATTCGCAGCTACAAGATATCATATCATTACAGAACGAGCCCATCAATAGACGAATAGTAAATCTAGTTCGGGTTCACGGCGCCGTTTTCATCTGACGATGGAGGGTGGAGTTGATGATGATGAAGGTGCTGCGGCCTCATGAAACCTCTATGGAGGCTCACTGATATTAACGGTATTGATCTTGCTACTTCAAGTCTGAAGAGATTCTAAATGCCTCTGTACCAACTTGAAAGTGATGCTTGATTCGATAACTTAGACACAACTAGTAGCTTCTATATTGGTTTTATAAAACTGCTCTGCACACCGAAGTTGGCAGGAAGCTTCCCTACCCAGTCTGAACGTATATTATGTCCTCTTCTATATTTTCGAAGGTTTGGAAAACCTTCGAATCTACCAAAGACACCTAGACTCGTTGATGGGAAAGTTATCGGAATTAAGGCTTGTCATAAAAGCGGTTCAACAGCAGACAAATTTCATGTGAGAAGTTTGTTATCCATTGGTCGAATCTATCTCGGAGTGAAATCACATGTTGTTCTGATATGATACCTCTGGCAAATCATCTATTGCCCGGCGAGAAGAGAAGACTAGACAGCAAGAGAAACTCCCTTCGCTGGTGCTATTCTCTGCTTTAAGATGGTTGTAATAGAGGCAACGAAAGCCAAGCTTGCAATCCACCATCGACCATCCATGACCCTTTTGTCTTCCGGAGAAAGGCCTCAGGGTTGAACTCAAGTCGAGGAACCACCAAAGGGTCAACGGCATTTCCAAAAAGCGAACCTTACATGGTGATCGGAGATGGGTTTTTGAATGATATGATATTGAGCGAGGCAGCGTCGGTTCAAAGTCAGAGGACACCCGCCACATGAGCGTCTTCAACGCAGAAGCGGTATCACAAACTCATCCACGATGCGGCGAAAAAACGCCATCATGGAGCTGGCCGCGGCCGCTCTCGGAAACGAAATCTTACCTACTTCCCGGTCACACTCAGACGAGCCTATCGAATTGACAGACATGTCCCATGCCGCACGATCCGCCAACGCTGATATGAAGGCCATCTGGAAAGCCGTCGAAGCACCTCACACAACATTCAGCCTCGACAACTCAAAATTCTACCTGCCCGAGGGACCCCTGGCCAACGATTCCTTCTGGCTCGTCATCGCAAAGGGCGAGAAGGCAACCGTGGACCGCCACGGGCCCCACCTGGTTGATTGCGAAGAGCCAAAGGTTAAGATCAACAACGAGCAGAGACCGTTCATCTTCACGTGCGGCTCTCTAATCGTTGACTTCCACTTCGGCCCGTCGTGGTACCTCTTCGCGCAGGGCGAGCTCGCCGAGGAGTGCGTCATCCGCAGACTGCACGGCATCGCCCGAACCGCCGCGGATAGCCTCGCGAAGAGCATGGGTGGTTTGTTATGGCATCGGATCCAGAGGTGCGGCGGGGTTTACTGTTTGGTCCCGATGGATGTCGCGCGGAGTCTGGGCCGTACGGCAGAAATACTTCTGGAATTCACGGAGCTTGCGGGAAGACTCGTCGAGACGATGAGGCGGCGACGTGTAGACGATGGTGTTCCCGCGGCGTTCAGGAAGGTCCTGCAACTCCTCGGCATCGTGGAGTGGTACCGAGTCCACCGCGCGTTCAACGCCGTACAAGTCCTCCAGAAGGCGTACGAGGGCCTCCGGAGCCCCACGGCGCAGAAGCGCATGGCCTCCACCGGGTGCATCGAACACGCCATGCTCGGCATGCTCGGCTGGCGTCTCGCCCCGGAGTCCATCGGCGAGCAGCAGGGCGCGCTGTCGGAGGGCCTCCACTCGCTATACGTCCTCAGCAACACGGACTGGACGGGATTCGACGCGGCGGAGGTGGAGGGGAGGGTGAGGCAGAAGACGACGCCGGTGTGTGTGGTGAAGGACAACTGGTTCTGCGCGTGGGCTTTCGGGACGGTGTGCAGATTCCTCACGCACCAGACCTTGGAGTGCGTCTGCTCGGCCGAGGAGCTCGCGAGTTGTCCCGGGCCGAGTCGGTTTGAGGGGCATCTCAGGTTCGCACACCTGGAGATGTTCAAGACTCTGCCGTGGGTCGAGTCGTTCACGGGGACGGAGCACACGAGGCTGAGGTTCCATCCGGAGGCGAAGCTGCTCCCGGGCTTCTATGAGGGACATCCTGAGGGGCCTCGGGACAGGGAGGTTGCGAAGGCCTCGGGCAAGCGATGTGCCAGGTGAGAGGATGCCGCTTGGGTTTGCTGTGAAGTTTGAGATGTCGCTGGTTTGTTTGCCCTAGCGGCTCTGGATTTCGGTGTTAGTGAAGAAGAAATAGGCTGGGTATCCGAGCATGATCGCAATGTGTCTGTGTTCAGGACGCAGCGTAACTCATTTCCACTCACGGGCTCACCGAAGATCTAGATGTTGGTGCCTGAGCACACAATGGCCCAGTCTAGCCAGTAACTTGTTGAAGGTGTTTAGTTGTGTTAGCATAGCAAGTAGGCAACCGAACATCCATCACATAGAGGACTTGAACAGTAAGAGCTAGCTGGCATCAATCACGCCCTCAGTCAAGGCATTTTCTCCAACAAGAATCCCATGGCAATGCCTCATGGCAGAGTCAAAGCCTTGGGCAGCAGGAACATTGCCACAATAACGGGATAGACGCTGATGACGGGTAAAAGTGTGACGGTGAGAGGTGCGACAAGAGAAGTGCCGAAGAACTACGACGGCTTTACAATGCGATGTGTTGTGCGGTGTTTCAACGGGCCGGAAGGCTGAGACGCTGGTTTCGCTTGACCACCGGAATGAGCGGTAGTATCTAGCGACTCTGGTGTGACGCTAGAGTGCTCGTGATCGTCAGTGACCGGAATTTGCGGTTCTTAAGTGTGACGCAGGAAAGATGATAGATGTCTATGAGCAAAAGAAAGAATCCTGGCGGTCCTCAGCGACTGGCACGGAGAGGTGGGAGGAGAGTTTGGTAAGATGGGACGAAATCATGCGACGGTTGACTGGACGACGTGAGAAAAAGGTGGTCGCCCACGTCATTGACAGCGGGAGTTTGCTGTTGTTTTCTGCAGGGTTTTCCTGTTTCGAAAGCTTCTGGTGCGGGTGCGGGGGCTGGGTGACGGAGGCTGGGTGACGATGATTTTGAGTCGAGCAATCAACACCAGACAGAGTCTGAGAGGGGCTCGTTTGAGACAAGAAAGAGTCAGTTTGAATAGCTTCACCTCAGTTAGGGACAATTCAAGATGAACCAGGTGGAAACAGCTGGACGACGGTGACATTTCCTTCTGAAAATGATGGACCGTGTTGGGCGCGGTAAACGGGGCGAAGGTGCCTCGTGTTCGAGCTAGCGGGGAAGGTTTGCTCGCTTAAATGGGAAAAGCAGGGGTAACGATGCTCAGGTGGGTTAATTTGCCGAGAAGGGATCCAGTAGAAAAACACGAAGCGGCCACTCAGAGGTCGTGAATGCCAGCACTCTGCCAGTATTTGGTTGCTTTTATTGGATATTGGGGGCGTTTTTAAGCCAATAAGTGGACGGGACCCACTTCCTTCCCGCCGCCTGCACCTGCGCCTGTATTCAGGTTCTGCGCAGCTCTCAGTGGCAGGAAGGAAGCAGGGAAGGAAGACGGCGCCTTCTTCCAGCAGGAATTCGAATGTCGGTCCCTTCTCAGCTAGGCCTGGCCTATTACAGAGTACCTGCCTAGCTTCCAGGTGCTAGCCTGGCCTTGCCCCTTCCTTCCACAGTGAGGTCCGCCCGGAAAGACCAAGCACCAACCAACCGGGAAAAGGCACTATCTCACCCTGCCCTGCGGCTGCAGCAATTCAAGGTGGATTTTCTCCCTTTTTTTCCACAGCAACGCTGTTCCAACGTCCCCGTCAGCTTCTGCTCGTCGGACAGCAACCGCTCGCTCGCTGCCAACCACCCCCCGGGCTTTCGTTACGACCTCGTCCAACGGGTTATTGCCCAGTCGTTCGTTCCCGCACTTTCGCTCCGAATCTTCGTCACCGACGTCTGGTTGATCTTCCAACCTTCAAGTCTGCATATCGTTCATCGTCTTCCGATCGCTTCTGACCTTGGCGACCCTCTCCCGTCCCGCGCTTGCGAATAGTCTCCTCTCCGCCTGCGAATCGGCCTTCCCACTCGACGACACGACACCGATACCCCCCAGCCACCAGAGAGGACTCCCTTGTCTTCGCCCATCCGTTATCCCATTCCTCATACTTTCGCACCATCGTTTTCTCGCTCGCGACGACACTCGCATTCCGTATCTGCGTCCGTCGCTTGGCGCAGCCTGTCCATCGCTCGAAATCACTCTCGCCCCCCCCCCCTGTCTTGTCGCCGCGCCCACCGGCTTCTGACAGACTTTGTCGACGACCTACCATATATCTCTTCTCCGCCCGCGGACCGCGATCTTGAACTCTGTCAACTCGAACCAACCCACTTGTTGTCGCCGTCTCGCGGCCGGATAGCCCAACATGTCTGGTTTCGGCGACTTCACCAACATCTGCCACATGGCGCCACTGCCATTGTGCGCATCTATTGGCCCCATCACCGAAGTCACGAGCGGTGTCGGCATCGAGCCTGACTGCTATGCCCGCAATATCGAACTGGCAAACACCATCATCTTCGAGGGTGCCGCTAGCGCTATGCACATTGTCGCCCTCCTCATGACGGTTGTCATGATTCTGCATATTCGCGGCAAATTCACCGCCGTCGGTACGTCAAATCTGATATCAAGCGCGCGCGAGTTTGACGCAACTGACATGGTCCCACGTTAGGCCGCAAGGAAATCCTCACCTTCTTTTATCTTTACATGCTTCTCACCTTCATCTCCCTCTGCGTCGACGCAGGCGTGGTTCCGCCCGGCTCCGCGCCGTACCCTTACTTCGTATCAGTTCAGAACGGTCTCACATCGGCTCTGGTCACTTGCCTTTTGATCAACGGCTTCGTCGGATTCCAGCTTTACGAGGACGGCACGCCTCTTTCGGTCTGGCTGCTTCGCGTGTGTTGCGTTGCCGCCTTTGCCATTTGTTTCCTGGTTTCCCTCGCGACCTTCAAGTCTTGGGCCGGCCTCGGCCCCACCAACACCATCGGCATGTTTGTCGTTCTCTACCTCTTGAACGCCATCGAGCTCTTCGTCTACATCGTCCTGCAGATCCTTCTTGTGGTTAGAACCCTGCAAGATCGCTGGCCCCTCGGTGACATTGCCTTCGGCGTCTTCTTCTTCGTTGTTGGTCAGGTTATCCTGTACGCCGTAAGCACGCAGATTTGCACTGCTGTCAGCCATTACCTCGACGGTCTCTTCTTCGCCACCATCTGCAACCTCCTGGGCGTCATGATGGTGTACAAGGTACGTTGGCAATATCTGCCTGGCCCCGATTCGACTTCACATGCTAATCCACTGCAGTACTGGGACTCAATCACCCGCGAAGACCTCGAATTCTCGGTTGGTACTAGGATGAACAACTGGGAAGTCAAGGAGCTTCTGCCCGAAGAAGAACGCCGTGCGACGGTCTACGCCGACGACCCGTATGCCCAAGCCAGCAGCTACGACCTTTCCTACGCGCCAGCGCCGGCCCGGAACTCGGTTCGCTACTGAGTGACCCGGCATGAATGGCAGACTGCGGAGGCGTAGGGCGTATCGAAGCGGTGTTGGAAAATGTGTAGGGGAAATGTAGTGGTGTGGTATTCACGGCTGCCTTGACTTTCAACGATAACATGGCCCTCGATTATTCTGGTTTTGGTAGGGTTCCGGGGCTTTGCGCCTCAAATGACGACAACTTGAGCATTGGGTCGGAGCGGCGTTTGGGAAAAACTGTCTTTGGAGGTCGGGAGCGGCGACTCACGGCCGTTTTTGAGTTTCTGCCTCCGTGGGCGCCCGATGCGGGGCCGGCTGTACAAGAGGAGGGTAATGACGTTCAAATAGTATTGATGCCAGCGGGTATCCGTAGTACATAGCCTAATTCCATTGAGATATGAGAAACTTTTAGTGTTCCAGTGGCATAACAGTGTTATGGACATGGATGGGCAGAGACGAGTGCGAACTTGTAACATCTCCGCGGCACAGGGTCCGAAATGGCAACTTATTTCGAGATGTAAGTTTAGGAGTGGCTGATGAGAAATCAGGATATCGTCGACAGCCAACCACCACACCCTCAAGGTAACAGACCTGGAAGGTTTAAGCTTTCAAGTAGTAGGTTGGAATGCTGTGTTTAGCCTCAAGGTAATGATCCGGCGTAATCAATATCATGTAGTGTCAAATAGTGTCGAACTCTTTACTGGAGCAAACCTTGTCGCGGGTATTCCTCACGAGCGACTGGGAATGTTGAGCAGCAACAAGCTAAACATGGTAGGTGACTCATGCATCTTATCCGAGTCCATCGTATCTTCATCGCTTGAGTCGGACTTGAGCGATGTTTAGGCGGGAGCTCTGAAGAGGGACCTGAAGAGGAGAGGCGCCACATTTGTACTGGAGATATTGGCTGGAGTGGAGGGGAGAAAGAAGCCCATGTGGAGGAGAGCAGGTTCCTTATCGGATCCATCGGATCTGTTATCGGGATGCGCTAGCCCGAAGCTAAGGGAGTCTCTCGCGTTTTGCGCGAATCACGTGCGGGCCAGACTATCGGTACGTGCCTTAATTTGCGTTGCTTTTACGGTTACAGCGCCCTAAGTACCGGTCGCCCCCTAGGTAGGTACCTAGATAGGTAGGCAAGGTAGTTAGGCAGTGGAGGTAATAGCCGAGTTGCCAACCGAAATTCTAGTCGGGAACTGGGCTGGTTTTAAGTGCACCTCAACCTGTGGAAAAAGATACTTTGCATTGATAGTTGATGATGCGTACCCTGCCCACTTGGCTATTGTAGTCACACATTGTTCGACATATACGAAGGTATGGATAATGAGCTGCAGGCAGTGGAAGCTATATTGGCACTAGGACAATGCAATTGAACCATCTGGGAAAAAGTGTGTTGGAAGGGCGCTCTTGAATGGCCGATAAGAGTCTTGGAAGGTGAGGTGAGGTCAGGTCAGGCAATCCGATACCTTTACTCCGTACAATCTTGCTTGTTTGATCTGTTGGCCCTTTCCCTTTGTTTAACGGACGGTTTTTTCCCTCCTCCTTCCCTTCCCTCGTTTGATGATCTATTCTTTCCTTTTTTTTTTCAACCCCTTTCCTTGCATCACCCCGTCCACACCATTTCCTCGTCACTACCTTATCCATTCAACCGTTCTTCCCAACTTCTCAGACCGTCGGGGTTTGCTGCTCTCGTGGCCGCTGCTACCCACGACCTTACCGCGTTCCACAGCCGAAAGTGCTACCTAATCTCAACATCCCCATCTCTCTCTCCCTTTCTTGTGTCGCTCTAGGCGGGATTACCTGCCTTACCACGGCTCAGGAGGTCTCCTCTCGCGCGAGATCACGTGAAAACACGCGATATTAGTTCGCGACGACTGCATATTGCGCCAGCAACTTTTTCGGGCACTCGACCGCTGTCATCGACCACCCCATCCATGCCTTCATGCAGCGGCAGACGTTGATGCGACCCCATAACACCGCATTGGAAGTTCCACGGCCGCTCATCTAATTACCTGGCATTGTCGTCAATTTGGTTATCGACAGCTACAGCTGTTGCCACTTAACCAGCCCAAGCATCTCTCTTTCGGCGACTCCTGAGCGACACGGCACCACCAAGAAACGACCCTTAACTTTCGCGGTTGTCCCCTGCACTCAATACCTTACTTCGCCTATCAATCTTAGTCTCATCTCAATTTTCCAACGCCTCTATCACTCCCACGCAGGCACAGCACATCACCGCGTACTCTGGTTAGCCTGACGTCTCGCCCACTTCCCGGTCGTTCGTACGTATTCCGCCTGTCGCAGCGGATTTCACCTTACAAGCGTCATCACAGACCTGACCTCACGTCGTCGTCTTACTTTCTCCGTCTCCGTCACGGCCCTGATCTGTGCCATTGACGTACGGAAACCCGCATTTCGCTGGCAGGGTACCGGAACTGCACCCCGACCCAGAAGATTGATCGACCTCCGCAACGTCTTCGGGTGTTGGATCCCCGGAGCCGCAGTGCTACACACTCTACTTCACCCAAGCTCGTTGTCTACGTCTTAATGCGAAACCGCGGTCTGGCCTGGATCGATCGCGTTTGTCCACGCGCGCTTCACTAGGGCAATTTCCTTTTCTGTCTAAACGACTCGTCAACGTTGCGGGAACTTTGGATGAACCGCATCACTTACTCGCCTACCTTATACAGTATTCTTTCCACGCCGTTCGTCTCACTGCTCTCGGTGCATCTTCCACCATGCATTTCGACACCGGTGACGGTGCTCGGCCTACACCTCAGGATGAGGAGAACTACTGGCATACCTTACGCAAGGCCGACGAATGCGAAGAGGACCACTACAACGGCGAATTCATGCGCACGACTGCTGATTTTCGTGATCGCTTAGCCGCATTGGACATGCAAAAGAGGGAGCTGGAGCAGCGTGTCCTCGAAGTTCATCAAGCGATTGCTAGAGAGCATGCGGGCTTAGAAAGGGTCACTTGCAAATTTCATGACGCCCGCCGCGTGCGCTACTTGGAAAGAGAGGCCAAGATCCAAAGGACTCACGCTTGGTTCAACGCCATTCACAAGAGGGACGACGAGAATCGAGTCAGGATCGCGGCTGCTGCACTCGCTGCTCCTCGACACCATGTCGAACCTGCCGGCCCTCCACAACCCAGTGGCGTGGTCAATGGAGAAGAGACCAATGGTGTGAACACCAATGGAGAGCCACATGGCGAAAGCCATACGCCACCGCCGACCTTGGAGCCGGTGACGATGATCATGGACGCTTCTAACAAACGGATCGGGCCTGTTCATCGGATTCCCTTCGTCGGAAATATTGCAGCCGCGCTGAACAAACCTGCCAAGCGCGCAGTACAGCTGCGTCCTGGTGTATCGATGACCGAACATGACCTGCAGAGGCTCCACGACAACCAGGACCGATGGGCGTCCATCATGATGCAGGCTGTTGGCAACATCCAAACCGAGGCAGGCCAATGCAGCCTCTGCTCCCGAGGAGAAGGGCCCTTTGCGTACTGTGTCATTGTCGAAGGGCTTGGAGCTTGCGGCAACTGCCACTGGGAGAGAAAGAAGACTGGCAGCTGCTCTAGCACTGTACAGCCAGCGGAGTCTTTTGCATCCACCATGTCTTCGGCAACACCACTCGCACAAGCTACCGGCGTTCGAGATGAGGACTTGACGAACGGCACGGCCACTCCTGTGTCTCTCAGTCGCCCGGTTTCCCGGGACAAGAGTGTTGGACCTTCCTCGACCATCGCCGACGATGTATGGGACCAAGATCTCAAGCCCATCACGCGGGAGAGCCTCATTTTGAAGCACGACGGCAAGATCTACACGCATCCTGAATGCATGGAAGGCGTGCCTGTTGAGAAGATTGACAAAACTCATCCCTACTGGGACCCTTCTTGGGAGGAGATTGCGCCGGAAGTTCAACGTTCGTTGGAATCTTGGCAGACAAAACTTGACACTGCTTTACGCAGTGGGCAGATGAATATGAAGTTTCAGCTCGGCCGACAAGTCAATCGAGGCAACCGCATCATGGACTTCTTGGCCATGGGGGAGTTTCACCCATACCAGCTGGTGTCGAAAAAGTACATGACGACGAAAGTGGCAAGTTACGACACCGTCTTTCGTCTGGCCGACACCATAAGCACCTTGAAGAAGTGTGAAACACTCGACATAACCCCGGCGGAATGGCTTCGCCAGCGTCTGCACGAGATCATCATCGACAACGGTGCAAACTTCAACCTGGGCAAGACGATTCACGACTTTTACCACGATCCAAAGTACCAGGCTCTACGGACCGCGAACGGTATCAAAAGCATTGGTCGGCCCTCTGGAGTGAAGAGGATTCCGAAAGACTCGCCACAATCGGCCAAGACAACTCCAAACGCCAAGAAACGCAGGATGTTTGTCAGCGAGGAAACCCCTGTCTACTCGCAACAGCGACCGATTGCACCTACGCCGACGCCGACGCTGCCTCACATGGACGACTCGGAACGTAGTGCACCACCGACGCCGGATCTTGCGAGGGCCACGAAGAAGCTCAAGAGTCGTCACGGCCCGAGCAAAGATCCAGACCTTGCCTACGAGGGTTTCACTGACACCGACGAATTCAGTGGTGACATAATCGGCAAGCATGACTGGCAACTGAACAGGATCAAATCACGCCTGTATACGGTGGGCACTGGTGTAACTCAGTACTGGCATTGGATTCCCACCGGTGGGGAGACGCTCTTCGAGCATCAAGTACTTGCGGAAGGGGAAGGCGCAGCCTGGGGCATTTACAGGAGGTCGATTAACTTCCACTTGGATCTGCATGACATCCAGGAGTTGAGGTTTTCGCCCGACACGGGCAAGGTTTTCGTCTCGTGTAAGCCCGACGTCGTGATATCGGAAGACGACAAACCTCGTGGAGACCTCATCGCTGAGTTCAAGCGACCGCGAACGAAAAAGCGTTTCCTAGCCTTCTGTCGCAAGAAGAACGTGACGATAACGAAAATCGACGCGTGAGTGATGCTCCTTTCCGGGTTCATGGTGATGGGGCGCAGCTAACGAAGGACAGGGACATTATCGAGAGGGCTTGGGATGAATATGAGTCGCCCGACGTCCCTGCTATGGGCATCTCGGATATTTCTTAATGGTCTACTGGCAAACAGCGCGTTCTCAACATTTTTATTTGGAGGATATTGGTGATACCCTTGGCTCCTAGTAGCACTTTTGGTTTCGCGGATTGGGCTCAGGGAAAGCCCAACTACTTCGGAGTTTTTGGCAGGATTGAAGGAAAAGCAGGGCGACTCGCCAGGGACGTCGTCGCCAGCACCTGTTCCGGGCAGCTTGGACAGGTTTTCGCCAAACCAGGGCGCTCATTGCATTGAACGGCACGCGCTAGTATACCTGGCTAGCCTGCAACCGCATCACCACTGGAGAAGGAGCTGGATTGCTCGGACTAGCGGATAAGCGAAAAAACAGCGATATTACGGTATGCCTACACAATAGAGAAAAGTTTTGCGGGCACTCGTGCCCCTTCTCCCCAGGCCAGTTTCTCGCGTATCCATGGCGGTACGTTAGGACGAGGTATCAGTTTCAATCCACTCGCAGGCATCTGTCGACGAGCGCCGGCAATGTAGCGGAACGAGGTGGAAAACGCCGTGCAAAAGGTGCCAGTCTCTCAACATTATCAACCACTGACGCAGATACGAATGTTTGATTCCGACGGCCAACTTGGACTTGACTGACACATTCTTGAAGATTGGCCACTAATCACCGTTTTTACCGCCCGGTTTTGGGCGTTTGAAGCTGTGACTTGCGCTGGCAGCGGTGGAGGCCGGGAGGCGGCATGACGGTCCCCACACCTTCCGGCCGGACATCCACTTTGTCCCGCCAGTCACAGCCCGATTCGGACGGACATCCCACCCCGGCCTTCGACTTTCTGAGCGCGCGAGCGTGTACACAAATTCTTAAGCTTACGTTCGAAACGGCAGGCGAACGATGTCGGCGATGAAGCCGGCCATCTGTTGGCTCGTTCAAGTCGAGGCGCCGACATGGCGTCGATCTATCCCGCCATCGTCCGGCCGTGGTCTTGGCTCGGGAAGATGCATTTTGCCAGTGGAGACGACATCTCGTCAATCACGCTTCGTTTCGAAAAAGCTTTGTTTGCTAGACGGAGGTTGAAGTCACCTTCATTCTCACACCCTCGATCCACTATACCCCCTGCGAGTGCGGGAGGCTGCGTCTCGCTTCGTGATGAGTTTTTCGAGGCAAGATGACCAGGAGAAGGGTGCTGGAGGAGGGTTCAGGTGGTGGGATCTACCCAATACCCTCGATGCCCCCCGAAAACCTCGCACTTCTGATCTCCTTTCTCTCTTCTTTCTTTTCCGGTCAGGCCTGGCGCCCCGCCCGCGACGACGCACCGGAGGGCGGGTTCCCTTGCGGTCGTCGTCCACGTATAGCAACCCCTTCTTATCGCGACGTATCGTCGCCTTCTTCCACGTCTTTGCATCCGGCACCACCAGATGCCATTCCTCCCTTTCTGTGTCCAAGCCGACTTGTCTGTCCCTTCCGATGCTGAAGACGAATGGTCATTTGGTCATCTGCGTCGAAACGATTTTGCAACATGGGTACGAGTCACCCGGGCCCTAGCCCTACAGCTCGGCTCTCGTCTTATCTTCACGAATCACAAGAGCGTCATAACAATGGCCTTGCCCTCTTGGACAGTCTTCCAGTCGGATGTGGACGTGAAGTAACAGCCACTCGTCCATCGATTCCTGGATCATCCGATGGCTCAGGGAAACTGGCGAAATCTCCGGCCCTCTCTGAACTGCGAGGTCGTGCTGAAAAGGGAGAAAACAGCGGCCAGTCACTTTTCTCGTCTCCTGTGTCGCCCCTTTCCACGCTCCGCCCATCTCGCCACGAACACAAGCGGTTCGGAACTGAACGAACGCCCTCAGACAAGACGATCACTGTTCCTTCTTGTCTCGGATGAGCAGTATGAGTGCTTTACCAACTCTCCGTTTGCCGCTGTCGAGGCTTAAGGGCCGGATCACCACTATCCAGACGAATGGTGAGTAGTGTGTTCCTTCACTGCATCCTTCGGCTACTGACAAGCTTCACAAGCGATGATTCCGACCGTCCGCCTCGTCCGCGTCGTGCCCAAGCGAAAGGCTTCTACCCAGAACGCTGGGTTCTCCTCTGCCTCGCCCACGTCGTATCTTCGCGCGAATCTCGCTCCTGCCTTGGAAGCCTGCGTCCAGCCTCTCCCCTCTTGGAGTATTCGTACGCTGACGGACATGCGACGCTTCAGGCGTCCCTACGCTGCGGAGTTCACATTGGAATCTTTGAGGTCAGTCTGATTCGTATTTTGGCTCCTTTTCTCGATCATGGAGATGCTCTGAAGTGGCAGTTTCATCAGCTGACTTTGCGATGTCGCCAGTGCCCTCTTGCGCAATCAACATCCCTTTCCGACCTCTTACCATCACACAGTCCCTGCCATGCGTCAAGCCACACACATTCATGATTTACGTGATTGCGTTCCATGACTTTCTTTTTCCACTCTGGAGAGGCCCGAAGCTGAAGGATGAAGTGTCTGCTTAGTTATTGAGATTAACGACTTCTAGCCTCGCCCCGAAGTATGGGCATCTCACGCCACGAAGAGTCGGCAATTACAAGCCCGAACGAATACCCACTGGATGAGCGGTCAGTAACGCATATACAACGTGCTTGATCACTCGTGGAACGACTCATGGCCGGCTGTACGAATTTTCATTCCAACAAGACCCAAGCCGGGCCCGGTCCTGGTACCGTCGAACGACTGCGCGGAGTTCATCCACCGTGCACGTCGAGGCCCATGACCTGACTCACCGCAGCGACCATCGGCGCAGCGAAGCTCAGTAGAAGCTCACGTAAAGCGCCCTTCCAGGATCGAGAAATGATGGCGTGGTGGAGCAGCGGCTCGGAAGCCTTCAAATCGGCCGCCTGCTGATGCGGGAGAAAACGCATCAAGAGGTGCTGCTTCATGAGGGCCACCACAAAGAAGTGAGTGCTCTTGACCCGCGATGATGAGCCGGAGACCGAAGAAACATGTCTGACGCGTTCAAGGCGGTGGCATTGCTGCCTTTCTGCTCCACGGAGTAGAGTATGAGGCGCGCAAGATACTACGTAAGTCATACATGACCAACATGCTTCCCTTACTCATTGGATTCTTGACTGACTTTGGCCTCCCTTCATCAGCATCACCAAGTTCGACGCTTGGCGATATCGATAAAGTCAGCAAGCGAGACGGCGGAACTCCCCGGGCCGGGAGGGCTCGGGCTCTTCTAAGATCAGCATCCACGATCCGGCTTGAATCCATGAGGACTCCGGCCACATGCATTCGGGCGGACATTGTTGAAGACCTTGGTTCCACCATATCCCTGAGCACGCTGCCAGGGTTCGGGCGTGGACGCCTCTATTACAACTGGTCTCGTTCAACCCGGAACGACTGCAGCAGGATGCGAACGAAGAACACCGCGCTTACGAGTCGCCGGTGTCCTTTCTCTGGGCTTCAGCTGTTGTGTGAGGTTCAACTCGTCCAGGTATGCATCTCGTCGGGGTAGGTATGCCAACGAAGGGGGTAGGTATGCCAACGAAGGGGGTAGGTATGCCAACGAAGGACACTGGCGACACCAAGTACCACGTGACGGGTGTCCTGGACCACTTGGTCAGAAGGAGTCCCAAGCTGTTCGTGCTTGGGTATGGCCCACTCGAACCTGACAGTCAACGCGTGGGAGCCCCTGAATGGTGTCAAGGAAATGGCACAGCACAAGCTCATTAGCTCGGTACTCACCTGCGACGTATGCTGGGCACATGGTGAGTCGGGAACGCACGCCGCGCAGCACGTTGCTAACTTGATTCTCCAGAGCGAGGCGTTCGATACGATGTTCGACATCTGGCCCGAAGCAACACCGCGTCACCCTGTCGTCTCAAGGACATCTTGGTCTACCGCGGCCTCTGAGTGTACGTCTGCACCTGTTAGTTCGGGCGCCTCTGGCTTGGCAGACAAACATTGCCAAACACTCATTTGTCTTGCTTTCGAGCATTCTACTGCTGGTTCTTCATTCCACCATACTCAAATCCATCGAGAGCTTCCGAGATGTCATCCTATGTCCCCCAGGTCACTTGGGCGGATGTATCTCATGCACCCGACAACGATCCAATCCTACCCAACTTGCCGGTAACCGTGGTTACGCGATGAAAGACCTCCCGATTATTTATTACTATTCTCGCTGGTTCCGGGTGGTCTCCAAGTTCATCATAGGACGACAATGAGCGCGACCAAAGCGCCGCTAGGCGTGCATTCCGGTATGCCTCCTACTACCAACTCCCTCCCCGTCCAACGCGCAGTTACGAGCATTTGCTTTCAACCCCCGAGGAAGTCCGACCTTTGGCCGCATTTGAGAGCCACAGCCGCTACCGCTGCGGCGACCGGAGAAGAAGAAGGCGTCGGACCCGGGTCCGGACCCAGAACACTACCATGATCTCCGGGTTGCCGTCCGGCGGTGTACATACCGGAGCTGCGGATTGGATGGAACGGTCGAGGATTCGGATTCGGAGGGGAGTCTAGGCAGGGTTCCCATTACGTATGGGATTGCCCGTTGTCATCGAAATCTTTGAAGCCTTCTAAATGCCAATTGCCCTGGTCATTATACGCAATGGCGATTTGGCAGCAACTCGGCATGGTCTCCCAAAAGGAAGCGTACACAGAGGAGATACGATGGAGGCATGCTGGCCCGGGGTCCTGGTGCTGCGTCGAGGACAGTCCAGGGTAAGTGATAACTTCTCGTCACGCAAGTCATCTCTCCTCTAACATGACCCAGACACACAAATTTCGCAGTTGTGGCTCACCGATACTTGCGGCATGTGTCGGTGTGGTTTCTCCAGTGTACTACCAAGGCCGTGCATGGTCTTCGACTTGATCGATATCTACAACATTGTTGGCCGACGGATATGCGCCTTGATGGAGGGCTCAATGATGCCGACCACCAGACCCAGTGTTTCTGCACAGCATCGTTAGCCGTGAACTATGCAGAAATACGCCATACGACCACTTCCGCCGTGTCTTCACACGAACTCAACTGGCTAGATGAGCTCTCGGAATCTGAGAGAGACTCTGCGCTCTACCTCAACCACTACCATCAAGTGTTGTTTTGGGTCACGCAAAGCGACCTGTTCGACCCTTGACGCTTCTCAACATCCTTCATTTTGAACTTCATCTTCCTGTTCGCTGGAACAACAGTCCTAAGCCCCGGGCCGTCGCCTCTAACGCTATGCTGTGGCCTTACGTGGTACTGCCCAAGAACACATTTACACCCCACGATCAGCCCTTCAATCAACCTAATCGGTTGTCATCACTCCTCATCGCCCGTGGCGGAATATTGCCACATCATGCCAGCATAGACTTTGGAAGAAGCAGGCTTCTTCCGCGTGTCTCCCCATGAGATCAGTACAGCACATTTTTCCCCATTGGAAGCGCACAGCAAGTCGTACGAGAAACATACGCGTGTTCGCAGGATGGTTAATCGGAATGGTCGCCAGCAAGATGCTACATTCGACCGCTCTACAGACGTGGCTTTTCTTGGTGAGAGCGGTACTCGGCGCAGCAACGATGCTGCCCAGTTTGCTACCTGGCCGCACTAGAAGAGTACCCAGGATAGCATTCCGGGCTCTCTTCGAACTCGACAACTGTCTACATCATGCCGTTTCTTCTATTGATTTGACCCGTGTGGACCCAACAACATGATTCATTAGTTCCTTCCCTTTGGGACTTGAATCCGCTCTTGAACACACTCCATTCCAAGCAATCATCTTCCCAACTGTCTTGCCTGGTTCCGTTTCTATACACGACATCGAAGCAGACACGGCGCTTCGACACTTTGCTGGTTGGAGGCTTCTTGAACGACACGGAAGAACACAGGGCTTCCGCTTCCGTCCGGTGCTCATCACAGCGCCTATGTGGCTCTACTGGCGCTATGTTGGCGACCGGTCCTGCAGCCGAATGCCGTCCACCAGATGGTTTCTCCCATCAACGTGTCTGGTGCTCGACTGCGAGTGATACAACCGACATCCACAACACAAGTCAGTGACAGCCTTCTCAACGGGGCATTTGCTGTCACCGACTCCCTGCCGATACACACTACTAAGCCAGCCGCCATGTTACGTCTGGATGAATTTTCGAGGAAGCCGTTCTATGCATGGCGCCGACTATGAATTTGATCCCCAGATCGCAGCATAAGGCACCTGGCCTTGTGGGATCGGATGCTGGGCAGCATCGGGTCGCATGCCACAGCTCAAGCGGACCAACGCACTCCCGTTTGCCTCTTGAATTATCCTCGACAAAAGCTTCAAACCCCAGATTACTATCGCCGACACCAGGGGGAAACGGCTTTCACCCGATCCCTCATACACTCATCAAGGCCCATTCCAGACATGTCCATCGGAATTCGTCTCTCAAGTTTACCGAGACTGCCCGATTAGGAGAGGACTTCCTACGTGCCCATCGATCTCACGACGGCGAAACTCTTCGTATTCTTCGACGGATCTTTCGCGAACAATCAGGACCTTACGTCTCGACTGGGCTACGTCGTTGTATTGGCCAACGAGGCCATGACATCCGACTCCACGTTCTCGATCACGGGCAACGTTGTTCACTATTAATCGACGAAGTGCAAGGGGGTTACCCGTAGCGACCATGGCATAGAGAGTGCGTCTTCACGGGCCCGTCAGCGAGATCTTACACGTCTCGTTCCTTCCTGTCTCTTCCCACCAAATACTCTCTCATTCCTCATTGATTCTTGTCCCTGCCGATAGAGTGTTTGCAGTCTTGAACACCTGGCGGACCATCACATGCCCTATCCCATCGCCTTCTACTACTCCTTCAACCCTTCTTCACTGAGTGAGACGATGCGAAGGATTGAAAGCTGTTCACACTCCTCAACGTCGTGGCCGTCAATTCTCTTCCACATTGGTAAGCATTCTTCAATATGTTCATCTCCTCCGCCCATCTTGGGAGTATTCCCTCTTACCTCCTGCCTTCACATATGTTCCCTCAGCCCTTTTCATGTCGTAGCGTGACGTTTTGGTTCACTCATCAGTGTGTACTAACCATCTTCTTAGGGTCTACATGGACAGAAGACTTGCAACACCTCAAAACGACTGGGCCTCGGGCCCATTAACTGTTGGGATTGCCAACACCTCATCAATGCCATGCGACTTTTCCTCCCGGGCAGACCCGGAGACTTTCCTTGGAAATAGGCACGCTGGGGTTCCTCCTTTGGCTTCCTTGACGGCACATCTGCACCAACAATCTCAACCTTCTCAAATCCTTGTCCCCCGGAATCATCATCCACAACAAACACAGCAAGGATGTCGTCAATGAGATCCTAGTTGTTGGACGGTCCTGCCATCACTCCTTCAAGTCATCTGCTCTTGAGAGTGGACGATCGTGGCGGCCGGAATTGACAAGCCAACCAAGAAATGGAAGTTAACGACGACGTCTTGGTCGCCCCTGGTGCCCTCGCCGCCAAGCGGTCCTTCTCGCATAAGCTTAGCGCCCCTGAAAGCTTCATAACAGACAACGTCTTAAGAGCCGATCAGCTTGTCAAGCGCATCAAGGAATCCCAATCTCATACACATCGAAGACGCCTTAACCTCATACATATCCCGACACCATTGCACCTTGCCCCAACCTCAAGGCTGCCCGTGACAGTGGTTTCTAACGAACCCCTTCTCTAAGCTCTCTGCAGCAACATGAAGTTTTAGCTGGCTTGCGACTGCGAAGGTCAGCTTCCCACTTTCCGTCGACTGCATTGATGGCGTTCCCCAAAGATGTTGGAGCGTCCTTGGGAAGGGCCCTTGAGGTCTCTTCTCATGCTGGGGCAAAGTTCCGCAGATATCGACAGCCTCTGGGCGAACATTGGCTCGCACGGTGCTATCCGAGTGGTTGTCGCTATCGCCAAGAAAGAAGGTGAACGATGCAACCTTCACAATACCTCGACCGTTCAGCCTGCTGGGTCTGCCCGCCATGGGTGAAAATACACAGTGATGGCTTTGGGTTGATAAGCGTCGAAGACCAGACGGATGTGATCGACGATTGTCAGGGCTGCTTCAGGGCCAAGTCAAATAATTCCGAAAAGAGTTACTTGCCCGGTTTGAAGGCTTGTCGGGGCTTCGATAACTATCGTGTTGGAGGATATCCAGGAGTTTACTTGGGGACACTCTTACAAGCAGACCTGTTGTGGATTCGGGCTTCAAGGCAATACGCTATTACAGAAGGCCTGAAATTAAACCACCCTCATAAACAGCTCTCTGTTCCGCTATCTCCTCAGACACAACACAAATCACACCAATATCACCACTCTTCAGGATCCACGGTGGCACTCATGTGCCCTACGATTTTGCTACAATTCCTAAACATACATCACTGAACGCTCTTGACATTGCTGTACCGACTCCGTCTACACGCCATCATTTATCGAATTTCCCAAAGGAGAAGCGATTAATGATCGACGTCGCGGCGCTGCCCTGGTTATATCAACAGCGCGAAGTTTACGGACTAGGATATCTCACCGAAGCCCTCACGAAAGGATCGCCAAATCAATCGCGGCAGAGATTTTTCACTGGCAACATACACTGCAACTATCAGAACAGATAAATATGTTACGCTGGGGCCCTGGGTGGCTTGGAGAGCTTTGTTGTTCCGTCCACACCCGCGAGTCAACCATGACGACAGCTCGCACCGACGGGCACCAGTACCATTAACAACAAGCAAGGACACATCAATTGGCCTTCCCGGCGCTCCATTGAGCTGCGTCACTCTCGCCTTTGCCTCTTGGCGGTCTTTGACTTCCGCCTGCCGCTCATGGACAGCATATTCTCATCCCCGTCGCCTTTCGCACACGATCCTTCAAAGCTGAACGCGACGTTGTCGTCGTTCCATAGTCGCTTCTCCAAGAGTCA